TTTCTGAGGAAACAAAGGGTTAAATAATAATAAGTTCTTGCATAAGTTACATTAATCATTTTGTACAAAATAAATAAATCTGCAATTTTCATGTAATTTTTAAAAAGAAATGATTTTAATGATTCCTGGGGATCACATTTTTTCCACAACAATTGGCGTCAAGTGCCGTGTGGAAGCTGTAAAAGTTCCCCTGTACTTAACTTCAGTGTTGCTATATTTTTTCTGGTATGGTTGCCTGCATTCGTGTAATTTTGCTGTTTTTAATACTTCCTAGGCATCACCCTTTTCCCAGATTTTTATTGTTTCAAATCATTTATCAGGTCAAACTTAAATTGCTGTCCAATCTTGAGTAAAACCAACACTGACAAATTAGAAAAACTCCAGTACAAAGCCTTATATTATGCATTGTTTAAATGACTTCCCATTTTGATATCAGAGTCTCCTTAAGAATGTTATAAACTGTAGGCTAAAGACAAATACTATTGAGACTTTCAATGAGATTGAGAATATCCCTCGTCGGTTTCTATGATTTCCTATTTCAAATCATTTTTAATCATTTCCCGTCCGAGCCTTGCACTCTCCTTGTTTTCTTTGGTGTCATGTTGGGCTCCTTGCCGGTGGTCCAGTGTTGCTGGGTTGTGTTGTGGGATGTATTCATTGAATGCCGAAGTTTCACTCATAAGGCGGTTCACACCTATACGTTTCACTCATACTTTGTCAAATGTATGGACGTTTCACTTCCATTTTTAGTTTATGTATTTTTTTTAGATATTTGTTAGGAAACAAAATTCATTCCGAAATATTATTATACTCGACCAAATATTATCAAGTTTTCATCCCTAATGTGTTCAACTTCAAGAAAGCTACTGATTAATATCGCCCGCTTTGTACGCGAGATTATGAATACATTCAAAAGGTAATCTACTGAAAACAAACCTCTCAAGTTGCAAAGCTAGTAAATCCGTATGGAATTTAAAATCACAATCGATATACATCCAGTCAATGAAACCAGTTTTGTCCAAAACATGACCTTTTTATTTTTGTATATGTCCAAACTAATCAAATCGCAACAAACATAGCACGTGACTACCGAACGAGACGGTACTATTAATTATAATTTATCAACAAGCGCAATATCATAGAAATCGTGCCATCGTATATACTATAGAAATACGTATTGTATTTATAGATAATAGTAAAAAAAATCCCACGGCTATTTATACAATGCACAGTAATTTTTGTCGTAATTGTCTAAGTCAATATGACAATGCCATATATAAATATTTATGTATATTTTTCTTCTTTTTTATTTCATAATCTATTTTACTGTCCCCCTGGAAAAAATCATACTTAGTTCTAAGTTAAACCCACATACTGTTTGAAACTTATATTGATTATATGTCATGTTGTTACTATTGTAAACTGACTGGAAAATAAAAGTGATTGTTGTTGTTGAAGTCAATAAATTTATTTTCATTATTAAGAGGGAAAGTTATTGAACTTAATGTTTCATTTTGTTGATTTTGATGGTATTGTTAATAAGAATTAATGAATTTGAAGAAAAGTATAATTTCCATAAAATGTTAAAATGTTACCGAATGTATAAATAAATTACAATATAACCCATACAGTACATCATCAGTTCAGAAAAAACCTGTGTTTTGAATAAATCCTGTTATTAGGAGTAAATATATTGGTTTCAATGAGGACATATGATGAATTATTAAATGATGATCATTATACTAATTTAAGGATTGAATTATTAAAGGTTTAAATGAAAGACAAAATTCAAGATATAATTATTATTATAACGGTAACAACATGAGCAAATTCTATCTATGATAAATCAAGAAAGATAATAGAATTACATAGAAATGAAAATTTCCATAAACAACACAAATCTTTAAAATAATAAACAATATCAGTATATTATTATCATTAATTTATTATTTTTTGTAAGTCTAAGGCAATGAAATGCGGAAAATGTGTATAAAAATGTTTCTTTATCAATTTATTAACATAACATAACATAACATAACATAACATAACATAACATAACATAACATAACATAACATAACATAACATAACATAACATATAGTTTATTAGCATAATATGTGTTTACATACATAGCCATTTACAATGCAAGAAATACAGACATGAAATTTTTAACAGAAGAACGTGGTCAATTAAAAAAAAGGATAAGTATATTGATAAAATGTACATTCAGTCAATTTTTAAAAAAAAACAATACAAGTTATCTGCAACTGTGACTATAGGTTTTCAATGGTTAACTTACTATAAAAAAATTGCGTCTCTTTGATCATTATATAGTATGATAGTATAAAATACTTACTTAATGAAATGCGAAAAATGTGTATAAATTTAATTCTTTTAAATTGTTTCTTTATCAATTTATTAAACAGTAGCCATTAAAACAGACTTAGGTAATTGTGGTGTTAACAGTAGTCTCATCACCTAATTAGTTGTATAAAAACTGAGACCATCAACTAACAGATTAACATCGCTATTAAGTCAGTTGTAAAAACACTGCACTTTAGCATCACCAGTTCATTAGTCAGTTGTTTATTGGACCATTCAAATATTTTTTAGACAACTGGCATTGCTAATAAAAATACACTAAATGCAAGAAAATCACACATAAATTCTTATCATTGACAACATTAAGAACTACATGTATAACTTTTCACAATTATATCCAGTCAAACATATATAATATATATTGAAAAAAGTCACTAGGCTTCTAATTTAATTTAAAGGTATTTCTGTTTGCAATGACCATTAAGATAAATTCCTTATCTACAAAGGTGCTGCATACATAATTCAGGGTATTAGTAGAAATTAGTTTAAAGATCATTTTCTTTTCGATAATAAAAATATAGAAACAGAGATATTATAGCCCAAGTTCCAACAATTTTGACATATATTGAAAGCACTATTCCAGCATTAAAATAATTTAACATTTTTTATCCCATTTTCTAAAGGAACAAGCAATTATCATAGTATTGCAAGCAATCCATAAGTCCCCTACCGGTTAGAACCCCAGCAACATTCTGATTTCAATTTTACCAGTGAATAAATGACACGAATGAACTTAAAGCTTTTGAGTTCTAAGTTTGTCTATTTCACAGTAATGTGTTAAGTTTCCCTGCCTAGTAAGGAAATTATGTTTATACAACCTTGTCATATTATTACGATGTGGGATTTTAAAGTAAATCCTATAAGGAATGAAGAAGTTGGAGTAAAAAATACCAATTTCTCGAAAAAAAAATCTAAGTTCAAGGGGGGCATAATACTGGAAAAAGTCTTGCTAGAGTATTTAACCTTCTCAAAAATGTTGAGTGATAATAAGAAACAGATATATGAAGTTTGAAGTACAATGTAGATACATTAGGAAATAAAGAAGTTATTTAAAAAAGACGGTTTTTTTTTTCATAAAAATTCTAAGTTCAAGGGAGGTAATACTGATAATTTTTGTGCTAGAGTTGTAAACCTTGTCACATAAGATGTGGTTGATGACCAGAAACTTATATTTAAAGTTTGAAGTAAACACCTTAAGAAATAAAGAACTTATAGTGAAAAAGCTTAAAAAATTTAAATCAGAAACCTTGAAATTCAGGCTATTTGTTGCCATGGCAACCAGAATTTTTAACATAGGAAGAAAAGAAAAAGATGTGCATAATCTGCAGACTGCCATCCATCCATATTTTAAGTTTCATAAAAATATTTTCAGTATTTTTTTAGTTATCACTGGATCCAGTTTATGTGTTAAATTTGCCATATTTTCAGACTATTTGTTGCCATAGCAACCAGAATTTTCAACATAGGAAGAAAAGAAAAAAACGTGCATAATCTCCATACTGTCCTATATCAAGTTTCATAAAAATATTTTCAGTACTTTTTTGCGTTATCGCGGGATCCAGTTTTGTGGACGGACGGACTGACGGAAGTTCTCACAGGACAGTAACTATGTGGCTACTCTATTGTTCTCTCTATTGTTCTTTTTAGCCACACAAAAGAAAATAGCCACATAAAAGCATTACGGAATGAATGACATCAAAGAGAAAGAACAGTTACCTACTGTCCCTCTAGCCACATAATTACTGTCCTGTGAGTGCGGACTGACAGACAGACGGACAGACAGACGGACGGACAGACGGACGGAGGGTAATCCTAAAGTCCCCTCCGGTTAAACCGGTAGGGGACAAAAACAAGTTTACTCAAAGTAAATATTGTTTGTTGTTTCACATGAAAATTGCCTATTGAGTCCATGTTTACAAAAGATCAAATAATTTGTTGTGTGAAAGTGTCTTTTAATCAAAAATATAATTTCTTTATGTGGAATAATGTGATAGCCTTCATTGTAATTGCATCTATGGATCAAAGAATAGAAAAACACCTTTATTTCAAAAAATCAATAAATAAGAATAAATATCTGAAAAGATAGATGGGCCAACATAAAGAGATCAAAGATCTCTCCAATCAAGTAAAAAAAGTAAATAACACTTTAACAATTATGATATACACACTTAAAAAGTCCTGAGTTTTAAGTCATTGACAACAAGTGAAATCCCCATTTTTAATTCATTTTTGGTAAATTTAAGGTATATCTCAGTATTTCAGTATATCAAAAGTAAATCATAAGTATCAGAATAATTTTAATATAAAAACTAAAAGGGAGTGGAACGTCTTGGTGTGAGCCGTCTCCATAGTGAAACGTCTGTCTACTTTTTCAAACTTGTCCCAGTTGAAAATTTCTGGATCCAGGCATACTGTAGCCGATGTATAGGTGGTTCTTGATAGCTTTCTGAAATTGGATAGTTTAAATTAAAGTCAAATACTCTCCAGTGTCTGTAAAAGGGTAATGGAAATCATTTATTCAATCAAACGGTATGAGGAAGATCGAGAAACACTGCCAGCTCGATTAAAATAAAAAACCCGTGAATTCATTCCGTTTATTAAAAAAGCTTTTCATTTAGAATATCTTTTTCGCGATTAAAGTTCCTGTAAGCAAGTTTCACATTGTGTAAACTTTACAATATGGCGTCCTAAGAAACGAAAAGGTTGTCTTTAAATAAATGTAAGTTTTCTACGCATAGTGTGAGTCTGATTAATTGTGTTGCATATGACATCAAACAGCTGAGATTTTACAACAAGTTGAGTTCCAAATCTTTATTTTCTAATGCAGATACCTTGAGTCCTGGAGTGTTTAATATGTGCATGGAATTTTGTAGTCCAAATAAAGGAAAATTATAGCAAAATATACATAGACGTAAACCGCGGATTTGAAGCTATTTTTTACATTGGTCAAATCCGCTTTAAAGTCTAAAGATATCTGTTTAAAAGTCCATAACAAAATAAAAGAATAATATGAAAAAGGCAAAGCCTCAAACAGGCTTCGCGAAAGTTGCCGGACCGTCGGACATGTCCGGCAAAAATCAGGCCGGTCCGATATTTTTTTTCGGAGTTCCGGACCTTATATCCGGTACGAATACCGAGATATATCCAAGACCGATCAAGACCGAGTTTTCTCCCTTGAATAAAAAAATGTAAAACGAGTTTTGATTCGCCGTTTCATTATAAGTGTCCGATACATACGACTGTCAATAACCAAAATGTCGGTGTTACTACATTATTACGCTGGCGCTACGCCCGGCAAAAATCGTAAACTATCCAATGAAGAAAAAAAAGCGAAACAAAAGGAATACGAGTCCAGGCGCCCGCCGAGAAAATTTGTGGGTAAATGGAAAAATGGCCGCTTTGATCATGAATGTTTTGATTTCCAAACAGAGTCCATCCACAGGTGCTTGAAACAAACTTTTTTAAGTTTTATATGGGCTATATACTATATATCTTTATATACATATATAGACTGGTTATGTAAAATATTTGAATATATGTGACTAGCGCCTGTGAGTCCATCAATCAGGATAAACTAATGTTTTATTTAAGGGAATAAAATTGTGTTGCAAATCTTTAAAAGTTGTTATGTCTTTAAAAAAAACACCAAGGTATTACCATATACATATATTTGGGGGAAAAAATTCGGTCAGACAAAAGTTCTTTCGGTCAGACAAGAATTGAAAGTTTGTCTGACCGAATGTCAGGCAAATTTTTCAGCAGTTTCGCGAAGCCTGCTCAAAGCGAGCTCGATTTTCTTTTACCGTGAGATAGTTAAAATAATCGTTCATTTTTATTTTACATTTTCCATTTTAAAATTGTCATTCGGTATTTTATACACTGCTTCCGTTTATTCTGGTTCCCCCTTTCTAATATGAAATTAGGTGCTACCTATGGCGCGGAAAAATCTTATGAATTATAATTTTAGCATAACATGTTTAGTGTACATGTAAACCAGATCTTTCTTGCAGGTATTTTGTACCATAAACAAAACGAATAATTTGAGGGTGTTCAACCTATCATTGGAGCGATCGGAATATTCCGAAAATCTCCGAACTGTGCATGCGTCGGCGTTTGGAAAATCCCGTCCACCATTTTTAGCTCGACTTTTCTATGAAAAGGGGAGCTATCCTACTCGCCCCGGCGTTGGCGTCGGCGTTGGCGTCACACCTTGGTTAAGTTTTTCGTACCACCCCACTTTATTTCAGAAGTATTACAAGTATGGCTTTGAAACTTACCATACTTGTTCACCATCATAACCTCCATCTACAGACAAGAGTACATAACTCTGTCAAGGTTTTTGACAGAATTATGGCCCTTTTTTGACTTAGAAAGTGTATTGAGCTTGGTTAAGTTTTTTGTACCACCTCACTTTATTTCAAAACCATTGGAGGTATTGCTTTGAAACTGACCATACTTGTTTACCATCACGACCTTCATCAACAGACAAGAGGACATAACTCTGTCAAGGTTTTTGACAGAATTATGCCCCTTTTTGACTTAGAAAATACATTGAATATGGGTAAAATCCACTTATTGCCTTAACCCTTTGAGATATTGCTTTGAAACTTTTAATGCTATTTCACATCATTACCCCCATCTGTACGCAAGAGAAGGTAACTCTGTCAAGGATTTGTTTTAAAATTAAGGCCTTTTATCGACTTAGAATCTTGGTTAAGTTTTTAGTACCAGTCCACTTTTTGACTGAACTGTTTGAGATATTAATTTGAAAGTTGGAATACTTGTTTACAATCATGATTCCCAAACATGTCCAGGAGAAGGTAATTCTGTCAAAGATTTTATTTGAATTATGGCCCTTAACTGTCAATGTTTTGTATTATAGGCAAGCACTAAAAAACTTAAAAAATCTAAAAAAATTCATTCCTATCCACTTGTTCACTTTACCATAAATTATGTCATATAAACATTGCTGTAATATTCAAGGGTATCAAACAACTAGTTCACTTTAAAAATACAGAGATTCTTGTATTGCCTTTTACTGCAAAAACTTTTTTTATTGGCAAGCAATAAAAAAGTCGAGCGCGCTGTCTTACGGACAGCTCTTGTTGTTTATCTCTAATCACAGTTTTGGTTTTAACGTTATTTTTAATGTGCTTATTTATCAAAAAGTATATGTTCAAGTAATTTTTTATATTTTATAATCGTTACTATAATTCTTATCAATGAAATGAAGGTTTATTTTCTGATTTTGTACATAATTCTTTCACCGGAAGTGTTACTTAGCATGCGTCTGCTAGCAATAGTCTGAATTATGTAGACGCCCATTAAAAGCGCTCTGATATCTATATTTAGCTCAAAAGGATTTCAAAAAGGCGGCACCCAGTTAACTAAGGATTTTTTCACAGCTCATTAGGTATAGGATATATATTTTTTGAAATTTTCATTTAGTTTTAATTTGATTTCATTTCAATTGATACGCTTCATACATGTTATATAAGAGCGCTACAGCCCTCGCGGGGCCTTTGGCCACGCTCGGGGATTTCCGCGTATTATGGTTCCTTTTTAAGTGCGCAGGACACCAGTCTACGCTTCCGTTTTCAGTCAGAGTACATCGGCTTTTATCGTTATCTTGTAAATCGAAAAGTTGCGATGTGTCCAATTTGGTACTTCGGACGAAAGTTTTCAAAACCATCACTTAGCAGGTACTCGTAAAGCTCACTTTGCGAGCAGGCCCTTTGGGCCAGCTCGTCGAGCTCGCTATAAACATTCACAATCATTCAAACTCCCCATGTAACATGTTACAAATAATGCTTTGGTATTCATAATCCAACCACATGGCATCCTAAATCACAGGGACCCAGCACAGTGTTGGGATAGTGTAAAAAGTAATTCTAAAAAAAAAATATATACTGTATATATAATATATAGACAAGGGGTTGAACTCGCCAAATCGGCCGAATGCCTCTAGTCCAGTATAAGTCAAAATTGCAAAGTCATTCTTGCGCAAATCATATAAAGCTATATATCAAATGGCAGCTAAATGACATCACTAGACGTTGACAATAACATTACTGTCCCCACTTAAACCGTTTTTGAACAACAAACCGATATTTCGGATGAAACATCGCATTTATGCGAGGTCGGACACAACCGTGCAACCTGTCCCCACTCGATTTTCTACGTGTAAAAACGCAATTCCAAACCATGTCATTATACCAACCCGCAATAAATCGATTAAACAAAACAAAATAAACAACTTTTTAGAGAAAATGGTATTGTGCGGTCGTGCATAAATTTTGATGTGACGTCATAAGCGTTATACAAACATAGTGTAAAGATGATCTGAATGTTAGCATTATACTCTTGGTGCATCAATGAAAAATGACTCTCATTGAATGAAATAATATTATGCTCTCCAGAGGCTTGCATAATATAATTTTATACAGCTTGTGCAATAAATTCAGTATTGAACTTTAACTCACTCATTCAGTATCCTCTATACACCAGTTAAAGTATCAAAATAATATGAGCCATGTCACGACAAAACAAACATAGTGCATTTGTGACCAGCATGGATCCAGACCAGCCTGCGCATCCGCGCAATCTGATCAGGATTCATGCTGTTTGCTATCAGTGTCTCTACTTGTAATAGGGTTGGTAAGGGAACATCATGGCTCCTGATCAGACTGCGCGGATATGCAGGCTGGTCTGAATCCATGCTGGTCGCAAACCCATTATGTTGGTTTTGTCGTGACGAGGCTCAAATGATTTGATATCAAGCATGACATGTTCAGTATACATGTAAACCAGACCTTTCTAGCACTTTGTAAATAAGAAATGCAGGTATTTTGTATCATATAACAAAAACGAATAAATTGGAGGAGTTCAGCCTATCATCGGAGTGCTCTGAATATTTCAGGAATCTCCAAACTCCTCAAAGTGATTGGCTTCGCTGTGTGAATCGAAGCAAAGGGAGACCGCGGCATTGGAGTTTGGAAATTCCCGTCCGCCATTTTTTATTAAACACAGAAGACTAGCATGTCTTCTAGTAATATCTGAATTATGTTAGCGCTCAAAAGCGCCCTGATATCTTTATTAAGCTAAAAAAGATTTCAAAATGGCAGCAATGATTTCAATATGGTGGCGCCCTATGTACTTAAAATTTTTCTCAAACTCGTTAGATGTATATTTTTTTTTTTTATTTTAATGTGATTTCAATTTAATTTATTCATGTCATACATGCTATCTAAGAGCGCTATAGCCCTCGCAATGCCTGTGGCCCAGCTCAGGCTTTCTGCGTATAAAGTTTATGCTGAAGACCTTAAGCAAGGAATTTTGGCTAGACGCAGCTATCTTTAACATTATGATTTTAGGATGAACGTCACGATATGACCTATATTGTGTCGATGTGAAGTAAAACCCAAAAAACAAACAATTCAAACGATTCAGCATTGTCAGCCATGTTTGTTTCCAAAGTAAAAGTAGGCCAACATTCATATATCAACAAAGCTCACAATGTAAAATGATGAACACATTACAATTACACTTTGAAGGACTAATACAAACAAAAATAAAAAAATGATAACATTAAGAATACTTTGATTGTGTTAAATTCCTGAAGCCAAAGTAAAATCTGTTGCAAAGTTTTATGCACATTTCATGAATGGCAAAATCAAGTTTAAAGTCTGTTTTAGTGCAGAGAAATGCTATTTTTTTGCAACAAGCACAACAAACTTGGTGGGGAGCAGTGGCCAAGTGGTTAAGGTGTCTGCCTCTTAACCCAAAGATCATTGGTTCGAGCCCTACTCAGGTCACGACCATGTTTCTTCATATGACACCAGTACTGGTTGGAAGCAGACTTGAAAGTGATTAATATAAGTTGCAAGAACTTTTTTTGCAGTCGAGCTTAAATAAATATGTTTAAACCAAACTTGGTGGTCCTACTCAGGTGCAGGTTTGTGGCTGAAATAATCTGAGGTCTTCCTCCACCAGTAAAGCTGGAACATATGACCTATTATGGGTTGGTGTAATGTAAAACACAATCAAACGAACAAACCCAATTTTTTTATTAACTTATTATTCTACTGTATTGCAGGCAAAAATAAACACCATTAGTTCATAAGAAGACACCAATCTGACATAGACAATGAGTAAGCAGACTGTAAGGTTAAAGTATGCCTGTGATCAGGATAAATCCGTACTGATCAATAATTTTGAGGCCCGTGGTTGGATACCTGTAAGTCCAGATGATGACTGGAACTTTTACTGGTAAGCAGTACAATGTATTAAAATATAGAATTTCATTAAACTTTTTGGTTATTATAAGTAGTTTCAAAAAATTTGAAATCTATATAAGGCTGATATACAGTAAGTTGAAAAAAAAAATCCTGTATATTACTAGATTCATTTGACTGCAGTAAAAACTGTTAATCTAATAGCAGCCTAAAGACTCTTTGTTAATGGGAACATGATTATAACACTTGTCTGAGCTTACTGTATAAGTGGTAAAATAAGCGACATAAAAATATTTGCGAATTGAGGAAAATTGCTAAAATTTTACATTAATTTAAAAATAAATGACTAACGTTGATTATGAAATGCATTATAATTATGTTAATGAGATGTTAAATGTTTCAGGGCAAATGTACAGAGTATTAGAAGTGTGTTTAGTGTAGATAGTGGTTACAGATTACAGGATGATCAGTAAGTTTACCTGATTATATATCAAAAACGGGTCTTTCTAATTTAGTGCGTCATAAAAATAATATTTTGTAGAACCGTAGATGTGTAAAATTTGTAAGTTTTGTGCATGAACAGGCTCAGTCAATCCAAACCTGCATCATTTTCAATTTTGCAATTTTTGGCATTCTACACTTACACTGTCGGATACCCACAGTCAATTAAAATGAAAGATGTATTCAAGATGAATGTTAATGGCTTGGCCGTTGGTATTTGACAATGGGCATTCTATAAGGTTTCCATTATATTTTTTCAATATTTGGAGAGACGGGGCTATTGTCACCAGACAATCACTTAATTTTGATGTCTTTCACAATTAAAAAAAAAATAATTGAATTTGCTAGTGCATTTATGAGGACCCGTTGATTGCAATCTACCATATGAAAGATGTACTTTTAGATACACTTCTTGTAAATCTGCCTTACAATTATTCAAAGCAGTTGCAAATCAATAAAGATGTTTTTATTAGAAGCCAATATTAAAATCATTGTGTTTAGTTCTTGCAGCAATTGTTAAATTTCGGATTTAATTCCTGATTTAAGATGCCTGATGGCGATCAATTTGTTCATGGACATAATAAAAAGTATTTGGTATAATATATATTGATAATTAATGGAAAATTATTTGAATTATACAGGGTTGTCATAAGAAAACACACTGATTGTTGTAGGTGATAAAAAATGACTGCTTCAAATTTGAAAAAGAACGTGTGAGAAATATTTTAATGAAAACTCTGATAATAGCCAGATATTCATAAATTAAAGCAATATTTTATGTCAGTTTTAGCTGGACTATCCAAAAAATAGGGAGAGCTATTGTACTCACCAAGGCGTCTGTGTCTGCGTCATACTTTGGTTATGTTTTGCATGCAAATTGGGTCTCCCGAATTACTGAAGAGAATGGGTTGAAACTTCACACACTTGCTTGAAAGTATAATAGGAGGTCACTGTCCAAGAACTGTAACTCTTAACATTTATTTTGGCAGAATTCTGGCCCTTTTTATGCCACCGCAGCATCTGCGATGCGGTGGCATATAGCGATTCACCTGTGTGTGTGTGGGTGTGTGTGTGTGTTTGTTTGTTTGTTTGTGTGTGTGTGTGTTATATAGATTATATAGTGAACTTAAAAAATCTTCTTGTGAAAAACCACTATTCCAATTTCAACCAAACTTGGCAGGATTGATCCTTGGGTGAAGCGCTTCCAAACTTGTTCAAAGAATTTCATTCCATGCAGAAATCTGGTTGCCATGGCAACCAAAAGGAATTATAAGAATAAATTAAAAAAATCTTCTTGTAAAGACCCAAAAGGCTTAGAGCTTAGATATTTTGCATAAGGCATTGTCTGGTAGACCTCTACCAAGATTGTTCAAATTATAGCCCTGGGGTCAAAATCGGCCCCGCCCCGGGGGTCATTGATTTTCACTATATATAGATATAGTAAAAACTTAAAATACCTTCTTGTAAAGACCCAAAAGGCCTAGAGCTTAGATATTTTGCATAAGGCATTGTCTGGTAGACCCTTACCAAGATTGTTCAAATTATAGCCTTGGGGTCAAAATCGGCCCCGCCCCGGGGGTCTTTGATTTTCACTATATGTACATATAGTAAAAACTTAAAATACCTTCTTGTAAAGACTCAAAAGCCTAGAGCTTAGATATTTTGCATAAGGCATTGTCTGGTAGACCTCTACCCAGATTGTTCAAATTATAGGCCTGGGATCAAAATCGGCCCCGCCCCGGAGGTCATTGGTTTTCCTAAAATGTATATAGTAAAAACTTATAGTAAAAACTTTAAAACAATTTCTTCTAGCAATTGACAAATGCTAGAGGTTAGATATTTGGCATGAAACATTGTGAAGTGAACTTCTAGCAAGATTGTTCAAATTATAGCCCTGGGGTCAAAATTGCCCCCGCCCCGGGGGTCATTGATTTTCAATATATACATATAGTAAATAAAAAAAAATCTTATTGTCTGAAGGTACAAGGCTTAGAGCTTTAATATTTGTTAAATGATATCATCTATAGGTACTCTACCAAAGTTGTTCAAATTTTGCCTCTAGTGTCAAAATTAGCCCCGCCCCAGGGGCCATAGGTTTTCCTTATATGTATATAGTAAAAACTTAACAAAATCATCTTCTCTAGATTTACAAAGGCTAGAGTTAAGATATTTTGCATGAAACATTATGTAGTGAACCTCTAGCAGGATTGTAAAAATTATAGCCCTGGGGTCAAAATTGGCCCCATCCCCAGGGGTCATTGATTTTCACTATGTACATATTATAAAAAATTAAAAAATCTTCTTGTCTTAAGGTACAAGGCTTAGAGCTTTGATATTTGGTATATAGTATTATCTATTGGTCCTTTACTAAAGTTGTTTTAATTATGCCCCTAGTGTTAAAATTGCACTGCCCCAAAGGCGATAGTTTTCCTTATACATTGTATGTATAAAGTAAAAACTTGAAAAATCCTCTTCTCAGAATTGAAAAATCCTCTTCTCTGAATTGACAAAGGCTAGAGGTTAAATATATGGCATGAGACTTTGCGAAGTGAACCTTTACCAAGATTGTTCAAATTATAGCCCTGGGGTCAAAATTGGTTCTGCCCCGGGGGTCATTAATTTTCATTATGTACATATAGTAAAAAAATAATAATAATTATTTTCATTCAAAATAATTCAATTTATTTTCGAGAAAGAAATAGGCCGTGTATAACATTAATATTGGTACCCGTTTCTATTAAGTATGTCATTACACATACGTACATAAACTGAGCTACAGTCGTTTACAGTTACATTGCTATAAATACGTGAAAATCGCGCAATTCTCCCACTTGCTTTCGACAACGCATTCAGACTTATAGTAGTACCTTTACGAGAATTCTAATTTGCTGTGTAACGCTATGCCACGTGGTCGCAGGAGAGACCAGCTTCTACAGCGTTAACGTTGGAGGACTCCGTTGATGAGCGCATGTTGCAGAACGAAGCCGGTAGGTCAAACATTATAGACTTTGAACAAATTCTTAAAGAGTCTCAGATTATTCCAAGCTCAAATTTAAGTAATAGTAATGAGGGGTGTGGTGCGCAAAATATTTTAGAACTCCCGCTTTCAGGCCTGCGAAAGGCCAGCACGGGTTTAAATTCGGCAAACAATGTGGTAACTACGCCACCGTTAACCATGGTCCGCATAGCAGACGATGATATTGCGGCACATGTTCCAAGCTCCCTTAAGCAACAAATTTGCAAGGGTGAATATATTAACCTAGCCCTTTTGCTCAAAGGGGCTGTTGAGCTGTCCGAGTTTTGTTCAGGCAGTGTATTTCGCTTAAATGCAAATGGTCAAATTGAAACTGCCCAGAAAGAATGTAAGGAATCGATATTTGACATAGAAAAATGGACAAACGCCTTTATAATATACATGTCTGTTTATCTGTCGGCACACGCAGACAAAATGTATGAAATGTTGCACTATATGTTCAACATAAGAGAATGCGCTTTACGTCAGGGAGGCGTCGCATGGCGGACCTACGACGAACAGTTTCGCCTCCGTCAAGCTATTTCACCCGCCTCATGGTCAAAAATTAATAATGATTTGTGGTGGCGCTGCATGCAATTGCGCCCCCCTTCCAAAGCTCCATCAAGTTCCGTTAGATACCCGTGTAATGACTTCAATAGAGGTAGTTGCTCATGGCGAAATTGTAAATTTGCCCACGTGTGTAACACGTGCGCGGCTCCTCATCCAGAATTTGCGTGCACTAAAAATCAGTCATCAACAAGTGGCAGTTTTAATCAGTTTAAGAATAAGCTGTCAAGCGAGTCTGTAACGCCCCCGCAAAAATCCTTTCGTGCCAATCCCTTCTACAGAAGAGGCGACTCTAAAATGGGAGAAAAAATTGAAAGCACAAAAAAATCCGGCCTTAGTTCGTTAGATGAAATTAATTCTGATATTTTTTGTTTAGCAAAATCACCTGTCAAACTGTCAGTTTTAAGGAAATTATTAAAATATTACGATCAAGTTGAAGCTTCGTTTTTATTAAGTGGGTTTAAAAATGGCTTTTCTATTCAGTATTCAGGTCCACGTGCTCCACGTGACTCAAAAAACTTGCGTTCTACTTCACTTAATCCAGAGATAATAAAGTCTCAAATAAGTAAAGAGCTTTCCGCAGGCCGCATCGCTGGCCCATTTTAAGAAAAGACCAATCAAAAATTTAATTGTATCACCAATTGGTTTAGTGCCGAAAAAAGTGCCTGGTGAATATAGAATGATTCATCATTTGTCATTCCCGCCAGGCGAATCGGTTAATGACCATATTGATTCAGCGTTATGCACTGTGCAATACACAAGCTTTGATGACGCAGTCAAAATGGTTCAAGATCTAGGTCATAATTGTCAATTATTCAAGACGGACATCAAAAGTGCCTACCGTATTATTCCTATTAAGCCGTGTGATTTTGAATTGTTAGGTTTTTATTTTGACGAGAATTATTACTTTGATAAGGCCCTACCTTTTGGGGCTTCTATAAGTTGTATCACATTTGAAAGATTTGCACGGTTTTTAGAGTTTTCTGTTAAGAGAAATCTAACTTCTGCGAAATTGTTGCATTATTTAGATGATTTTTTAGGAGGGGACAGATCTAAGGAAACATGTGCGCATGCGCTAAAAACTTTTAAAGATACAATGTCTGAGCTTGGCGTACCTTTGGCCGAAGACAAAACGGAGGGTCCGACGGAAGTGTTGACTTTTTTAGGCTTAGAATTAGATACAAACCAAATGTGCGTGCGTATACCTGAGCTTAAAGTTCTAGAAGTAACAAAGAAAATTCAGGAATGTCTGTCAAATAAGAAAACAACACTTAAGAAAATGCAATCGTTAATAGGCTCGTTAAATTTTTGCTGTAGAGCAGTCATAGTAGGACGACACTTCATTCGTCGTTTAATCAATTCAATTTGTGGCTTAAATAAACCACATC